GTCCAGGATTCCATTGGCTTTCTGGGCTGCTAGATATCCAGAATTTGTTTGTCCCTCAGGACTCTCCTGTGACCATCCACCCACGAAACTACACATGTGGCACAGAGAATTTTCTTTGTGTGTATGACTGCTCTGTTACAAGTCTCAATCCTCAGGCCAAATGAGGAAAATCCATATGTCTGAGGTGCATGTGAAAGGGCAATGTTGAGTCAGTCATGCTGGAAGTGTTTGAATTCTGTCTTCTAACAGCGTATTCAAAGGTTGTGGATGTAGAGAAGACTTCTACAACAAAGGATGCATTTCCATTTCTTTCCCTTATGTTTCAGCCCGTGAGAATGCAAACATTCCAATAAATCGTTTTAGAAGGTGCGTAGTGTTTGGAGAAGAGAAGGTTGTGTGGAGACCTCAGAGCACCTTCCAAGAGCTGAAGGGGCTCCAGGGAAGCTGCAGAGGGACTCTGTGTTAGGAGCTGCAGGGACAGGACAAGAGAAATCACCATCCCTGGAAGTGTTGAGGAGGTGTCTGGATGTGGCACTGGAGGATCTGGTTTAGGGTTTAGGGGTTCCAGCAGTGACAGGTTGATGGTTGGACTTGATGAAGTTGGAGGTCTCCTCCAGCCTTGCTGATTCTGTGATTTTTTTACAACCCAGCAAACCAAGATGTAGAATCACACCTTGTTTCTTGCTGTGTAATGCCAGGCAGACCAACAGCTGGTGAAGAAAGGGAAGAGCAAAGTTGGTGACATGCTGGAGAAAGCAGCAGAGCTGCTGATGAGCTGTTTCCGAGTCTGTGCCAGCGACACGTGAGTGAAAGATCCTCTAGAACTCACACTATTAATTTGTTAAGAGCTTAACAAACTTTACTTTAGATTTTCCCACTTGCTAGGACTGTCTGTGGGTAAGAGTGAACAGTTTTGAGGCTTGTCTCCTCTCACACACAGCCTGTTTTCTCTTGGCTGTTAACTACAGATGGAGAGACCTTGCTTCAGGTTTAACACTCCTTGCAGGTCTTGTTGGGAAGGACTAATTATATCCCTGTTCCTCAGGAAAGATGATTAGTGCTCTTGTGCCCTGTTCATTGCATCACTTTCATTGTGTCGTAGACTGGTTTGGGTTGGAAGGGACCTTAAACATCATCTTGTTCCAACCCCCTGCCATGGACAGGGAGGCCTTGCACTTGCCCAGATTGCTCCAAACCCATCCATCCTGGCCTGCAACACTCCCAGGGATGGGGCAGCCACAGCTTCTCTGGACAACCTGTTCCAGTTCCATTTTTTGCAGATTGGACTGGAATATTCAGCACCTTGAAACTCACTTATCCCCTTAACATGGTGCTGAAGACTTTCCCTCTGCATTTAGCCCAGGCAGCTTCCAGATGGCCAGCACACAGCAAAAGGCAGCAAACAGGATCTCTCACTCGGTTGTGCAGTGTGCTCCACTAGGATCACATGGAAAAGCAGTGACTCTTTGGTTTCCAGTCTTAGCAAGTTTAACACTTCTGAAGTGGAAAAAATCCTTTTCTTTTTTCCCAGTCTTTCTTTCACCTTGAATGTTATAGGCCACTGCTGGGGGTGTGTTAGCTGCAGACTGGAGTGAGGACCCTGATGCAGATCAATAACCTTTGGAATGACATTTCTCATTATGTTGAGGAAGAAAAACTGGAACGGAGCTGTTTGTATAGGAACACATGTTCTGTTTTGACAGTGCTGAAAAGGTTAAAGACAAGGAATTTGGCCTCGAATTTTATCTGCAGACACCTCTAAAAATACATAAAACATCTAGGGAGTGAATTTACTATAAGGGCAAAGTCATTATTTTCATCCAAAGTTCACTTTTTTCTTACCACAGTCGAGCAGGCATTGAAGACTCCAAAAAGTGGGGGATGTTGTTCCTGGTGAATCAACTGTTTAAAATTTACTTTAAGGTAGGGTTGGAGTCTGGTGTTCTCTATTCTAAGTCAAACCCATCCTCTTTGATATCACCCTGTCTATCTACCTTCTCAGAGTAAAATGCAATTGATGCTTTTTTTTAACAGATCAACAAGCTCCATCTGTGTAAGCCTTTGATTAGAGCAATTGACAGCTCAAACCTGAAGGATGAATATAGCATGGCACAGCGAGTGACGTACAAATACTACGTTGGGCGCAAAGCCATGTTTGACAGTGACTTTAAGCAAGGTACTGTGTGCCTGCAAGGCACATTTCAAGTCAGACTGCTTGGTTTGAAATCTTGCTGATGTTGTGTGTGTGTGTGACTTGAAACGTGAGTAGAAAGCGATGTGTTTGCTTTGTGCTTGCTTTGATGAAAGGAAAGGTCATGCTGAGAGGGGCAAGGCTCAGAGGCTGAGAAGACAGGTGAGATTATATGACATGTGGTGGCAGGAGAGTCAGTAAGGTTCAGTGCTAGTCCTGCCCTTGGGACAC